CTATACCAGTTGTGGGCCGTTACAGGGGGGCAGCTGTCCAAAGCCGTCAGGGAGGTCACGTCTGACTCAGCCTCGAAGATAATTGGCCAGTCTGCACGCCCGACATTGACTGGGAACCAGACTGTACTTAGTAGGCACGTACAGTGCGTGACATATCTCGTGAAATGTTGGTTGAAATTCTGAAATGCGTTTTCGATTAGCAAGGATTACTTGGTCGCGGTTGCAATACTGATTACCATAAGGCATAGTCTTATAACATTTTAGACTCGGCAGGATGTCGGCTTTTAAATGCACTTTTTTTCAATCTCCCGTAGAAAGCGTGCTCGGTAAAAAATGACTACTTATGTAGCATGCATTTTTCCCATTGATTTTCGATGGCCTTGGAAATTCAAATATATTTTATAGAAACCACTAACAAAAATATACTTTTCTTTAGTCAGTCAATAGAGAATCACGTCTTCTATATATTTTATACTTAAGGAAGGAGTATAATTAGGTTTTAAAAAAAGTTTCTAATTATGAGACTTTTTAAGACCGCGATATGTCCATTCACATAGCATCGTACCTGGCCGTTTACCACTGCTCCTCATGAAATGTACATGGTCCGCATCCATTGCGAAATTTTATGGACCCTGCATGATATCTCTTTAATGACATATAGATATATGGGATTTTCTCTACACGGAACGCATGCACCTTGTAGAGTGTAATCACTAAGCGCTAATGCAACGAATGATCGGGCTCCAAATTTTTCGGCCATTGGAAAACTTTTTTAAAACCTAATTATACTCCTTCCTTAAGTATAAAATATTAAGAAGACGTGATTCTCTATTGATTGACTAAAAGAAAGCACATTTTTGTTTGTGGTTTCTATAAAATATATTTGAATTTCCAAGACCATCTAAAATCAATTGGAGAAACGCATGCTACTTAAGTTGTCATTTTTTACCGAGAACGCTCTCTACAGGAGATTGAAAAGAACTGCATTTAAAAGCCGACACCCTGCCGAGTCTAAAATGTTATAAGACTATGCCTTATGATAATCAATATTACAACCGCGACCAAGTAATCCTTGCTAATCGAAAACGCATTTCAGAATTTCAGCCAACATTTCATGAGATAGGTCACGCACTGTACAAACAGTCGCGAGAGGCCCAGCGTTGCGTCCGAAGATGGGCCACTACAGGCGCCCCAGAAAATTTGACGAAACCAAACTTGAACTCTCGGAAGGTCATGGCTATTGTTAGCGTGTCTCTCCGAGGCGTCGTCCACTACGTCTTCTTGAACGCCGGTTACTCGGTGGTGGCAGAGAGTTATTGTCAAAAGGTTGAAGAAGAAGAAGAAGAAAAAGAAAAAGAAGAGGAAACGAGCCAAAACTTAATCGGTGCAAAAACCACCTATCACGAGGCGGATCGATCCAGTCCTTGTTCACTTCACTGCGAAACCACACGTTACATGCGTCACTGTCCAGATGTTAAACCAGCTGGTCTAGGAAGCTTTGCCCTCTACCAACTATTCTCACCAGGTCCGTCGCCCGTAGACGCTCACTTTGTGAAGCCCTCCATCCTATTCGAGCACACACTTGGTTTGAGTGAAAAATGTTTCTAGGAATCCATCGACTCTAACTTTCGGGATTTTTCCCCGGTGGTAAACATCTGACCAAGTGGCCAAAACCAAGGTATCCCCATGGTCCTTGTTTTAATTACGAACGTTTTATTTCACCAACGTTGTGAAAATTTAGAGGTAACGATCACAATCCGCATTTTCATGTGTTCAGTAGCTATCAGCCTACAAATTCAGTGTCCGATCACATGTATCTACTCACAATTCTGACCAGAGTCAGCACGCAGAATCAATTGCATTTCAGTAATATGCTTGATGATATTCTACGTGGCTTCCGATTTGAAAACCCTCGTTTTACCCGCCATATTTTGTCCTTTGAACAAAAGATCAGAGTCCTGCTGTTTATGCTCAGAGACATGGACGAGAAAGCCACTATCCTCCTCGCGTTCAGGAGAAATCGTTTGGTTTCCTGCTAATTTATCCGACTATTTCTGACATTTTAAAATTTCCTCATTTGATGGCTGTGTAATAATCCTCCGGGTGTAGTTAAAACGGAAAATGACCTTTAGGTTCGTCATGCACCGAAACCCATGCAATATTGGCAGAAATTTTCATGTGCATTGAAATGTACAGTAGGTGGACTAACTCATGAAATGTCAACCGAAATTCCGAAATGCGTTTTCGTTTCGAGAAGATTAATTAAGTATAACTGTAAAGCAAATCATTATGCAGCATAATTCTCTTATAATTCAGTTACCCAAGGACGCCGCCTTTCGAACGAACTTCTTTCCGGCTGAATGCAAAAACTATACTCTGTAAAAAATGAAAACGTAAGCAACATGCATTTATCTCATTAATTTCCATACCCTTAAAAATTCAACTATATTTCATGGAAAACATCCATAAAAACATTCATTCTTCTACTCATTCGGTAGAAAATTGCGTCTTCTTCCAGATTTATACTCAAAGGAAGGGTGTAATCCGGTTTTTAAAAAGTTTCTAAGTGTGAGATCTTTTAATACCGTGAAATGGCCCTTATAAAACGTCATGTCTCTGCATTTACCAATGTGGCTTAACAATATGGCTGAAATCCACTGCTAAATTTTATGAATCCCATATGGCCTCCTCTTAATACCGTAGAGAAATGTATGGTTTTCCCTACGCGGAAAAATACGGTCTGTAGTTTGAAAATCCTGAGTGCAAGTGTTACGGCGGGTCGGGGTTCAAAATTATTCCGGAATTGGAGTTTTTGAAAACCGAATTATGTCCCTCATTCGAGTATAGCGTCGGAATAAGACGTAATTTTCTACCGAATGAGGAAAAGAATGAGTATTTTATGCATGGCTTTCATGAAATATAATTGAATTTCTTAGGGTATGGAAATTAATGAGATAAATGTATGCTTCTTATGTTGTCATTTTTTATGGAGTATAGTTTTTTTCATGCGGCCGGGAAGAAGTTCGGTCGAAAACCGGCATCCTTAGGTAACTGAATTATAATAGAATTATGCTACACAACGAATAGTTTTACAACCCTACTTAATTAGTCTTCTCGAACCGAAAACGTATTTCGGAATTCCAGTTGATATTGCTTGAGTTAGCCCACCTACTGTATGAGCAATTATTAGGGAATATAATCTTAGGCAAAATCCTGCCAGAAGTTTGGTGGTTTTTAATTAAGTAAATTTCCATTTACCCATTTAAAATGCATCCAGAAAATAGTACAATTGAAATACCGTCACTTTTTTTCTTCGGGTTTTGATGAGAAATCTATCCCTTATGACCATTTTAGTATAAATTCACTTCGTCCTTAAAGTACCCTTATTAAAGAATGGAATATTTCAATTTTAATGAAGTTAAATCTTGGGAATTTTGGATGCTCGCTTGATTCTTTTTGTAGTTTGCTGTAACCAAGTTCACCAATATCATTCACAAAACATCTAATGGAAATGAAAAAGCTGAGATATGTTGGTTAATATAAAGGCCCCTATGAAAGGGTATGTTAAGCCACTTTAGAGGAAACATTGTGTGTTTAGTTCCAAGTTTATGGAACACGTGAAGGCACTTAGTTAGGTGTGCCTCATAATGGTTCCCCTGGCGGAATGTTGCGATAGGGATTCTGCTCAGGCGAATCATTAAAGGCGACGTAATTAATCCAAAAGGTAAGGGTAGGGCATGTAACCCCCTGGGTAGCTCCTCAAAAGTCTGCCTTCTTATCTCACTTAGTTAGGTGTGCTTCATAATGGTTTGCTTAACAGAAGGTTTCGATAGGGCCTATGCAGGAAGCAGCTTTTGACCTCCAATAGCGTCACCGACATTAACGTTGCCCGTTTTGCGCTCGAGGTTAGGCTTTGGGCAACAGTTAGAATTGGCGTTAATTGGGTTATTCTTGGGACTAGGGTTGCCAGGCCTGGGTTGGGGTTTAAGGGCTCGACTCCGGGTTACGGTTACGTCCGAGTTTTCCCTAAATGCGTACGAGCTGGAGATTTCCCATTTAAGGCATGACCATGGTTAGAGTTTGGTTTGTGGCGAATTAGGGTCACCCAAGGGCCTTACATGCCATACCCTTTTCGCGCACGTAAAGACAGTTGACAGCTCTGTCAGCTGAACACATGCCGAAGTGGTTGCTTAAGACGGAAATTAAGGCACCCAGTATCTCGTTTACGAAGCACCTGGCGGACACGGGTCAGACGTTGGACTTAAAGGTTGCATTTAAGGTTCTGCTTCGGGCGACCACTGGGTGTCTCTTGCGCTTTACAAAAGCCGCTGCGATATGGAGGAGAAAACCAAAACTCTGTGAGCGGCTGGGTCACGTGATCGGCTTCGCACCCCGCATTCCCATGCCTGTCCTCTCACTTCCTCCCCCCCCCTCTCCCCGGCATGACTGACTGCTGTCCCGCGCGTCGCAGTTTTAGTCATGCCTGACAAGTTTTCACTGTAGTCTGAACTCGCTTGTTTAGATGAGTACCCCCCCCCTTCCCCCTCGTCATGTGCACCCGCATATCAGACTAACAGTCCATGTTTTATTTTACCTATCACGTTTCACCCCTCTAGACTGAACAGCTTACCTTGTCTTTCAAGTATGCAATGACCGCGTGCAGTTAGATAAGAGGTCGCGTCATTAAATCCTGCATGTTTCGTCCCTTTTGTCTTGTTCAAATTTATTTCGGAAAAACCGTGCTTCAATTTGCTCGAATTCTTATTTAACCGGAGCTAAAGAAAGACTCACTTAAGATGACTATTCGAGTTAACCTATTTACCTAATGATTAATTACCGACAAGGATCACATAATTTTGCTGCTCTACTTATTTTAGTTAAGTAATTATAACACGTTCACCGGTCATTTGATTGGAGCATCGGTAACCAACCGGAATGCAAGCAACGGCGTCTATCTCAGGCACTGTAAGTTTGCGCTCAGCACTTGCAAACTAGTGCAAATGGCCCACGGACGACGGTCAAAATCGGCAGAAAAGAGCATCTTTTTTGCTCAAAAATGGAGCCAACTGCGTTTGGGGTTTGCCTGTAGTTTGTCTTACCCTGTCGCCTTTCAGTTCGCGAGTGTCCACGCCAAATGAGGAAGGGCGAAATGGCCATCGGCGTTTTGAGCGAAAATTCCGGTCCGCTAGTTTACATTCACGCTCGGCAGTCAAGACGCCTTCAACTCATGCCGACAGTGAGAAAAACGTGGGTTCTCATCAAAGGCTTACATGAAACTAACTTCCAGGTCATAGACGAACTCGAATTCGAGGACTTGAAGCGTTTCCAATACGCTCTATGGACAAGCAGTCAGAAGCAAGGCGGACGCGTGGATCTGGATACATTTCGAAATACTATGAAGGGAAACCTTAGGCGACCGTCAGGCGAAGTATTTGGTTCTCGGTGCTGATTCAGTTGAAGCTTTAGATTGACATACTGGTCAAAACACTCTTTGATGAAATCGACATTAGTGGACTTGGCAGTCTCTCCTGTAGTGACATATGCACCTTCCTACTATGCAAGCACAAGGCCAGAGATTTGCGATTGGCCAAGGCTCGGCTTATTCAAATCAAGGAACCCATAAAGACTTGCGTTTTGCCGAACCGGGAGCCAGTTGCTCGCACCGTTGCACGAAGGCACGGAGGGGGATTTATTGTGGCAAAAACGGTGAGCTGATATTTCGCATGAGGTATTTTGATTATAACTGTAAAATTGTGGAACTTACTATGAACCTTTTAACCTAAAAACGCTATGTGAATGTTAGAGAATGGCCTATTTGTCGGTTTGCACGTTTCTCTGGGAAATGTAGTTGAAGTGACGCGGGTAGAGCGACACCGAGACAGATTTAATTTGTCCCTTCCAAAAAGCGAATCCACGAGTTAAGATAATTTTCCATGTGAAACGAAGCATTGGCGAAACATGGGGGATACTAGTTGGACTGCATACGCAACGCTCTAGCCGAAATGAAGTGCAACTGGAGGGGGGGGGGTGACCTTGGTGCAAATCGACTTTCCTCTGCTGAAGTCAGAATGTTTACACACTCAAGAAACTACCGTCCCCAAAGCGGAGACATAGAAATCGTTAGGTAACAGTCGAGAATCTAAAGCGGATCATCTATTTGACAAGTAGAATTCTGTCAAGTGTTTTGGGTTGCTACTGTTGATCCTTTAGGGTTTTTTCGTTTCAACTCCTTCCATACCATCCTGATGCGTGTGTAACCATGTGACTTTAAACAAATTCTCTCCGGTGTCCGCCCAGTCCTCCTCTCAACCACCCGGATTTTCCTGTTTGACAGGGCATATGGCCGCTTCATACGGAATTTTGTTTTTATTCGGGCGATTCTGTATTTTCCCCGGTCGAGATCACGAATAGAAAATGGGGTTAGTCTGTCGAAAATGCGACCATAGTGCGGAAATCCAAAGAGACTGCTTTTCGAGATTTTGATGATACTGATTTTCCAACTTCTCCCTAGATTCGTTAAACCGCATTTGCTTCATTTTTTCCCCAGAAATCCATGTTCGACTTTTTGGTTTTTTTACGATTTGGTATAGAAGGACATCCGTCCGAGGGAAGGTCTGTGCCATATCAGCTTATTCGCCCATTTGACTCGGAATTGTCGTTCGTAGATGGCGGGTGGGGAAGAAAAATCTTAGGGACACCCGTACTATATCCTCCCCATTACAGTGTTAATCCTCCTCTTTAGAACGGATCTGGCAAGCTTTGAAACTATCCTGGCACACTATTAGTCGGGACTTCGGAGATTACCAACTAAAGGCGTAATTCGGTCTGAACCGAGGGTCAGACCGCGACGATTCCTTCTAAATGGGACCCTGCAAAAATTTTCTTCGGTGAGAGATCGGGGACTGTCTCGTGGGCCAACGCGTGTCTGTGGCCAGCGTATATATGGATGTGGCAACGTCGACCGCTGCAATCGCGTCTATCCCCATTTCTTTCTAGTCCTTCGTCTTAAAGGAATGTGGTGTACGTGAAAATATGACGTGTGTTGGATGCGGCACAATGTCCCTGAATTTTATTTTAACTCGCGTGTAAGCTACCCCTGAACCCTTGAAACGGTAGCGGGTGTCCACGATGGCGACGAAAGTACCACCTACAAAAAGTAAGAAAGTTTAATATGACACCGAAGGAAAAACGTCGCGCCAACATACTTCAGGCGGCCTTACTCCAAATTCCAGGGAGGGCACTTATTCTCTTTTCCTGACCATAACCCTAATCCTAAACCTACCCCTGACCGTAACCCTAACGTTAACCCCGCGGGATGGTAGTTGGTAGCCCTGCCAGTTAGCGATCCTTTTCTGCACTTCCAGTTTAAGGCACTACGATTTCAGTAGCTGTGATTACGTTCTCAATCTGTCCGGGAGTACACGCGCAGAAGCCCTGTCAGGGTGACTTTCTTGTTCACTTTAACCGCCCCGAGAACGAGGCGCTGCAAAAATGCCTATATAGATTCATCGTATTGCACCCCCCACACGTAAAACTTTAGTAAAGGGCGAAAGATTTATCCTAGGCGGATTATGATTCATCATGCTTCTCAGTAGCATCCTAGGCGGATGGACGCGGGTCTCCGTTTTGTCGGTTTGCCTGCGTCCTTGGGTCTTTTTACTCCAGACCTCCTTCAGAGTCCGGCGTGATCGTGTGCGAAAAGGACAACCGTCGCGCAGAGAGGGTGTCTACCGATTCTCCACTAACGTATAGCACACAACTACTGCCATAGTTTTAATTCTAAGTGTGGCCACAGTGGCAATAAACTATTATTTGCGGATTTTCTCTTCCGCCCAAACATATTCTTGGCATTAAAGTCTTACCCCGCTTGCGTTATGCCGTCCTGCGTGCCGCTGCTTGATTCCCGTGTTCTCATGTCCATTCTATTGGTTTGAGTACTATCGCACATACTGCGGAATGACCTTAAGACACACTGCCTTCTTCCCGTTGGTTTTTCACCTTCAGTTGCTATTCTTTCCAGTCTGCGGTAAAGCTGCATTTATTCCGCATACCGTTCTAGTTAACCATGCTCATTTCCATACCCTTCTTGCATTTTTCACCTTATTTAAATTAGGCTTTCACTTTAGCAGGAGCGTCAATTCCAGGCATACACTACCAGCGCCATTTACGCCTCCACTCATTTGCCCCATCCGTATAGCCCCTATTACCACCGGTCCCGTAAGACAGGTAGCTGGGAGTTTTCGGAACCGGGAGGGCTACCAACTACCATCTAACCGTTAACCCTAACCATAGTCTTCCCGGAATCTAGCTCAAGGCCACCTGTGTACAATGGGAGTACATATTCACGCGTCCTACCGAAAGTTCTCTGCATATCGACATCTGTACCTATCGTACACGTCCAGGTTAAGACCCTTCCTTGTCTTTTATCACAGTCTTCATGTCGGTTTTTTCAGGACGGAACCCTCATATTCTGGTCATCCGACTTGAAGATAACTAAACAACGTTCACTGGTCTTCGAAGAACAGACCCAAAGAGTCACCCCAAAGTGGTACACTGACTTCCTCTTCCTGAACGAGATTAGCAAATTCGTTTCAAGTACAGGGTGCGTGAGCTTTCTTATCTGCCTTGTTTTTTTTGCCCTTTGCGAATTTCACATGATCTTATTTCTTCCCTTACAGGGACAGGGAACTGGAGTTCTGCGAAATGACAACGTTTGAACCTTACTGTCGCATCATTGGGTTGGACACTGTTCCTGTTTGTCTAACCTGGGGGTAAGAGTTTATTTCCGTGGAGCATATCCACATACATCGCAACTCCCTGCCTCATTCTAGCAGTGTTGACGGCAGTAAATTTGCTCTCCCTAAAAAAACAACTAAAAATCGTATCACATTTGGCAGTGTTTCTGTATGCTGTGGCCGTAAAACAGGGTAATCCGCATAGAAGGGGCCATTGTGCTAAATTATCGAAATGATTGAAAGGTGACCTTGCTCTGACTTATTTAGGGCTCGTCGGCCGGTATCTGGTAGCGTAAAAATGTACTTCAAACGTTTTTAAATTAATCCTCTCAGCACTGCTGCATCTTGTTCGATTGGTGTTCTAGGCCATAAGCGGCACAAGACCGATAGCGCCAATCAACCGATCGCATTAAGGAGGAAATCAGTCGACTCCGCGCATGATAATCGTCCTACTGCCTTCAGTTCAAAGGTCAGCTGTACGCGAGACCCGGTGTGATAGTTCGACCGCCGTGTTCGAAGATGTCCACTGTGTGCTCCACGGCAAGTTGAGGCAGGTATGACGACTTGAGCGTGGATTGGTTTATAGTGAGGGTAGACTTGCGCAGCATCTACCGCTCTCTACCCTCCTCACCTGAGTCTGGTGTAAAGACAGAGCCAAGGAAACCGGAGGCGGGGGAGGGCTAGGTGGCTGGTACGGCCGGACCCGCACCTTAGTGTACCACCACACTCCCCGGTGCACAACAAGCAAACGCTTAACCAGGATTTTAAACAAAGAGAGCACCACAACCGGCCAGAAAGAGGAGGATGATTGGGCGGCCGCGCTCACGATGTGTGTACCCAGCGGGAGTGAAAGCTCATCTACCAGCAGGGAACCAGATGCCAGAGAATTGTCAGCGCACGCCAGGCTGCGTGGGTCATGGTTTGCTGATTCTGGCCTAGCAAACGTTTACAATCCTTGAGACGCAGCGAGCCCCGATAATAGACCACAGTATTTCGCCGGCAGTCTAAACCTGCACCACTGCATGTCCGGATTGCGACAAGCAGCGATCTCGCAAAGGAAAGGAAAGCTGTTTATGAAGACAGCTTCCTCAATGGACACATTAATACCCAGCCTGAAATTAGAAATTGGGCTGTTATGAGGGCAACAACTTATTTTCTACAGTATTTTAAATAGCAGCACAGTCACGATAATCTGATTGCCTATAGCTATTCTCCTTGAGACACATAGTTACATCTAAAAGGAAAGTTTCTGACTGTAAATCAGAACACTAGTTGGCGGTCGTGCTCCGTTTTACTAGACTTATTTCTATTAGGCTATGGTACGATCCGGCGAAAAATTAGATAAAGTAAGACAGTAGATGAGAAACTGCTGACAGTCATAGCGTCTATTTGCTATGGAAGCTGTTTCTGACCTAACGTATTATAAGATGCGAAGTAAGTAGCCAAATGCATCTGTCACTCATCCGAATTCCAAAAAACTGAGTTGGGGTGGAGGTGGTTGCAAATTCGTTCTAAAACTTTGTCCTGCACGAGGAGACTGTCTCGGGCCTCTCAGCCATCATCAGGCCGCCGATGGGTGTTCGTACTTCATGTCGCCTGTCTTTGTGTAAACCCTGGTATTTCTGGCTTGCTTCCAATCTCCGGCAAAAGTCCTAAAATCGTAACTTATCACATCACACCGCTGTACAACGAAGCTAACTCCTAACACCACCATTGGATTAGGTAGCCAGAAGTGTCTTTAAACAGTAGGAATCGATCGTAAAATAAAACAGCTTACTCATATCACGACATGGACCCCTGCGTTCACCCACCAATCCGATTCTCATCCCTTCCCAACACAGGATTCGTCCCCAGACCACGCAGTATGTGATCGCCTGGGGCGATTCTAATGGTGATGTCAGCATTCTCCTCCTCACCGACATCGCGGAACTCCTACGTACCTGGAAGGTGTCGTCGGCCAGTGGTTCCCTCCCGACTGTCCACTTTGAACAACTGCTTACGCAACCGAAAGTCCAGTTTCTGAGATGGCACGTGCATAGTGAGTGGGTGGTCAAGGTCAGTTTGCGTGTGCCTACATAAAATTTGCCCGAAATTCGTCTTTTTCTCCACACTTTTGTGGTTACGTAGCCCCACCTGAGGTAAATGAACCCCAGCCACCTGGAATACGGGAGCAGTGGTAATAGGGGTCTTTACAGTTGTGAACGGGAAAAGCACAGGTGAAGTGGTCAAGTTGTTGTACGCAAAAGAAAAGCTATTGGGAATGCGCGGTTGTACTTTGAGTGGTCGAGAAATAGTTGCCGTAACCCTAAACCCTAACCCTGACCCCAACAATTTTGTGTCCATCAGGTGGAGCCACATAACCACATCTTACCCACTTTTGTACTTACGTAAGTCCCCGAACCAAAAAGCGTCCACGTTTGGAGGCTGCAACCTCAGCCACCGTATAGACAAAAAACCTACGTAAGCTCCCCTTCAGGTTGATAAACCTGAACACCTTAGGGAATGCCCTATCGTACCGATGGCAAAAATAGTTCTCGGGTCGAAAAAAGTTTTATTTTCGCTTTTTCAGGTACACTATGAGGCTTCGATGGACAAGATAATCAGCTGCTGCAATGAAGAAAGCACGGCGGTAATAATTGGTGGGTTCACAGGCTCTTGTATGTTAATTTTCGATGGCTGTTTGCTCACATCGTCCCACTCACTAGACCCTACACGCTGTGCTTTTTCCGAACCCCACTGCCAGGCACGTAGCCATGGCGACCAGAGGAAAACTTGCCAGAGACCCACGAGTGATCCGCATGTGCGCAGGTTTATGCGCAATTACTAAATAGGAACGATTTCTTTCCGGTTTGAATAGCGTAGGAATGATCTAGCGCTGTCCAGATTTCCTGTATCGCGAGAATGCACCTAGTAAAGTCATGCGTCATCTTTATTGTCATAGGTGCGTGGCAAACGTACTTTGTTATGTTTGCGGATGATTTCTGGCTCTCAGATGCATCGTCTCACCTTAATTTCACAATAAGGTGCAACCACCGTGAACATTTTAGAACAGAACATAGGGGGTACTTATCGACATCTACAAGGTCCTCGACAAATTTTCAGCCGACTTTTGTCACTCCAGAGCATGAATAAAAACTATTTGCAGAAAGTAGTTTGTACTTCTTCCGAAAAGCTATTTGAAAACTGTAAGGTCATATCTCAAAACATGTAGTGCATTCGGTGAAACGTTGTCCGTAGACCATTTCGCCGCCAGAGTTTTATATCAATTTTGCGTGGAAAAAAAGTGTCTTCTAGGAGGAGTACATATTCCGTGAATTCCCTTTTTACAGAGAGCGTAGAAGGAGCGCCCCTTTTAACTATGCTTAGCTGTACAAAGTGTTCTGTTTAATTTATAAATGCACCGGAAGAGCACTGGAAGGAAGATTACGACTGTGAATTTCTGTTGTTTTCTGGGGCTCTCAGGTTGTGTGACGGGATCCACACCCATTGGACAAGCCTCACGCATCAAGCCCACGCGAACACAGCTGACGTCAAGCAGCGGCTCTACAAGTGCGTTCGAGTTTTTGTGTCTTTGGATTTGTCCTAAAGGTGCATTTCTCACTCTTTGTCAGAATATCAGGCAGAACTACTTGGACCAACTCATCCCCTAAAACAGTCCTTGCAAGAATTCGCTTCTATGCTGTCAGTTATTACTGCATCCAGCAGAAACTAATCCCTTTGATGGATTGACTGCGGTACCTGACGCCTAGTTGCACAAGACGGTCATTCAGTGCTGACCTTACCCGATTTCCATGTGTGTCGAGGGTAACGGCTAGACTCCATATGCCTAACTGCCAAACCTAGACAAGGGTGGCCAGTTTGAATCTCCAGCATCGTTGTTTTTCTACTTGGAGCGTGGTCCAGTTATGTGGGGAAGATTAGCAGTGTTGTAGAACGCGCAGTCGGCGGCCATATATCCGGACAGCCACCGCGACCAAGTCTATACTCCGTATTTCCTGACTTATCTCCACCATTAGTGCCGAATTTAAGGAAAGTGCTGGAGCTCAGAGCACAGTACGTTTCACCTTTGGCAGAGCCCAACACATTTTTCAAATTGTAAGGGGGAGATCGATTCAGGTTTGTTGGTGAGACTGCTTTTGGTGACAAGTTAGTACTTGTAGCCAAATTACTAGCCCTCCTTTAGACTCTTTCGATAGATGTTTGATCGTAGACAGTCTGCTGTATCCAAACGCAAATCGCCTACTCCAAGGGGTTCGCAAGGATTTTGATTCTTTTGGGCAATTCCGGATCATAAATTTTAAAAATGCTTTTTGGTGGTGTGCTGTACTAACATTTAAGGCTTATTCAGTTTCTACCAATAAGTGATTTGCCTTAAGTGATAAGTAATTCCTATACCGAGATATCATTGGGCCCCACGTGTTGCAGGGATAGCCTATTTAAAAAGCAGGCCCCACTAGCCGTGTTTTCACAAGCTGCGCACCGGAGCAACTGACTAAGTGTCGGACGCCATTCATCCTCGTCTCCGTAGGTGCGATGACACAGTCATCTGAAGTAAACGTTCATCTGCTCGTTTAAAGTAATACCTAAACATTGTACATTCTCTTGTTCTCTATACTAGACCATTAATACCTGACTTCTGTTTTCCTATATCAGTTAAAATGGACGAAGAAGTTTCCTAACTTATAGTACCGAAGAGCAAATAGAAATTCGGCAAGGTCTGAATGCGCCTACCCACTGTCAGACAAACCGATCCAGACAAAGAATTACCTTTCCAACCCGAAAGCAGACTGTCTTTCTGTGAGTTAAGTGTCACAGAGAGGCTTTGACGGTCTACATAGGGGAATGGAAGATCAGTGAATGCCTGCGGACAAACGAAAGAGGTGGCCTACCTCTAAGATTTGATAGTATGGGAGTACTTTGGAGACAGGGATGTTGGTTTTGGCGGTGGACATACTTTAATTCATGTTCACCGTCATTGGCTTGTGTCATTACTTATGGCATTCAGTTTCGTTCTTTGGCGAAGTCATTTCCTAGATGGCAATCCCTCTTATAATTTCTGGTACTTTCTGCGCTTCAGGATTCAACAACTGTCTCTAATTTAGTTCTAGCCTTGCCGACACCGTAATTAGTATGGAATCAACTATCGCAACCAACGATATAGGAACTTATTGGAACCAGATCAACAAAGTTTAGTGCAGTAATAGTAACACAGTAGGGTCAAGAACGCAACACTGTCTTTTAGGACTTAGCTACAAAACAGTATATTGTTGAGTAAGAGTACAATTTAAAATTAACGACGATCACATGAGGCTCTTCGGATCATCTATTTCCTCATTAGCGAGTGGTCTTACTGTCAACATTTCGGCGGTGCAGCTCACTATGACACACTGCTACTAATTTAAAAATGTGAGGCAAACATTTTTGCAGTTGTTTTGGCAGTGTCATTAGTAGTAGTAGTAGTAGTAGTAGTAGTAGTAGTAGTAGTAGTAGTAGTAGTATTAGTAGTAGTAGTAGTAGCAGTAGTAGTAGTAGTAGTAGTAGTAGTAGTAGTAGTAGTAGTAGTAGTAGTAGTAGTAGTAGTAGTAGTAGTAGTAGTAGTAGTAGTAGCAGTAGTAGTAGTAGTAGTAGTAGTAGTAGTAGTAGTAGTAGTAGTAGTAGTAGTAGTAGTAGTAGTAGTAGTAGTAGTAGTAGTAGTAGTAGTAGTAGTAGTAGTAGTAGTAGTAGTAGTAGTAGTAGTAGTAGTATTAGTAGTAGTAGTAGTAGCAGTAGTAGTAGTAGTAGTAGTAGTAGTAGTAGTAGTAGTAGTAACAGTGGTATTAGCATGAAGGTCAGATGTGTTTATGTAGCCCACTTGAAGTAAATGAACCTCAGCCATCTGTAATAGGGGACGAGTGGTAATAGGGGTTTTTAAAAGTGCGGACGGGGAACGCACAGGCGACGAGTTCAAGTAGTTGTATGCAAAATAAAAGCTATTGGGCATGCGAGGTTGTACTTCGAGTGGTTTGAAAATATTTGCCCTAACCACTAAGCCCTAACCCTAAGCCCTGACCCCCCTTACCCTCAACCGCAGCCCTAAACCCTAACCCTGAAACTTCCAACGGGAAAGTTAGGAGACGACAGACCGCAATTCAAGAAGGACCACCGGCATTGGGCTGAAAACCATAGAAACGGCAACAAAGAAACAAGGCCGCCAACAGGGCACACACCGCAACGCACAGCATGACCATGCCAGCGTGATCACACCAACATAAAATAATTAAGTAGGTCAACTGTGTAGTGTCCATCAGGTACGGCTAAATAACCGCATCTAACCAACACAAATTTTAGCAGTGCTTGTATGACCGGTAGTATTGCTGCCGGCAACGGAAATAATAGTCATGTTAACATCAGCGTATTCACTGTCACTAATATGAAAGTCCAATTGTACGAACTCGCCACGAAGCAGCAGGTTGTTTGCGCAGATGTTTCTCCACCATTCTGGTGAATAAATCTGCAGTAGTTTAAAAGTTCCTAGGTAAAACTTGATACTCTGAGTTTTTCAACATAGTTTCTTCCCAGATACTGGTGTCACAAGATCCCGCTTAAAAGAAGGGATTTGTTTTGATTCATAGTAAAACTGCCTTAGAGTTGTGAAAATTTCCCTTGAAGAATTCAATTTGGCGACTATACGCCTGCCTTCGATAGTTTCTCTTCAGCTCTGTATACTTGAATGGTTATTGAAATAACGAATCAAAAGATATGGGCGAGTCGATAATTATGCTGTGGCTCGGTTTTAGGGGGAGGGGAGAGGGAGACGCCAAAATTCCAGTCAGCGCCAGAGGGAAGGTGGGTCCCGGGAGAGGTAATTGTATGCAGGTGGTTGGCTAGTGACTTTGAGCCATGACAACTGTGGGACCTGCATGAAGTTCTTCTGTCCGCATAGGACTGGTTTCGCGTGGCCTGATTGCAGACCCTTCTGCCGTAGTTAACAGGCGCTTCCCAAGTATTTTTGATAGCTTGACGAAGCCTTGTAAATCACTCGGAAGGCCTCTCTGGCGTCTAAACGGTGGTCTGTGTCTACTATGCGAGCGAGGATAAAGTCGTTGACATTCTTTATTTTACCCTTTCCTAACCGTGCTGGCAGATGTTCTTTTGCTCTTTTGAACAAACGCCGGATTGTGTGACCAACATGCAACGCGTGACCGACCTCATGAAATGTTGGCCGAAATTCTGAAATGCGTATTTGATTGGGAAGGATTACTTAGGTGCGGCATAATCCTATAGTACTTTGGACTCGTCAGGATGTCGACCTTTGAATGCACTTCTTTTCGGCCTCCTGTAGAAACAACACTCAGTTAAAAAGTGGCTACTTCAGTAGCATACATTTTTCACACTGATTTTCGATGGTCTTATAAATTCTAGTGTACTTTATAGATAACATGCATAAAATATGCGTTCTTTTACTCGTTTGGTATAAATCACATTGTGTTTACATTGTATACGCTAAGAAAGGTTATCTCCCAGTCTCAAAAAAGTTTCTAATTATGAGATATTTAAGACAGTAAGATGTCCATACATACAGCATCGCACATGCTCGTTTACCATGGCCCCTTGTAAAGTTTACAACATAGTTCACATTCATTGCAAATTTCATGAACTCTACGTAGTATTTTCTTAATGGCATAGGACATGCACTTTGTAGACTGAAATCGCTAAGCACTAATGCAACGGCTGATCAGGCTCCAAATTATTCGGGAATCAGTAAACTTCCTCAACACCTAACTACACACCTTCTTCGGATATAAAACGTAAAGACAATGTGAGTTCCTAACAAACGGGTAAAAGAACGCATATTTTATGCATGTTATCTATAAAGTACATTAGAATTTATAAGATCATTGAAAATCAGTGTGAAAAATGTATTCTACTTAAGTGGCCATTTTTTACTGAGTTTTGTTTCTGCAGGAGGCTGAAAAGAAGTGCATTTAAAAGCCGACATCCTGGAGAGTCCAAAGAACTTAAGGATTATGCCGCAGGATAATCAATGCTGGAACCCCACCAAAGTAATCCGTCCCTATCAAATACGCATTTCAGAATTTCGGCCAACATTTCACGAGATCGGTCACGCACTGCCCCACAGGAGCAGATGTAGGGGTAAATACACATAGAAGTGGTCTGAGCTGCTATTTTGCCCTTGCCCTCTCCATATTGGATGGAACCAGTGGAGAAAACTACACGGGTGTCTCATAGTAGGACTCCGAAAACGACCCCCTTATATTCTGAACTAGCCGGACCCCGCCACGCGTTGCTGTGGCTCAATCTTATGAATTGGGAAATAAGGGAAAGAGGAAGGAGCACGTTCCCAATTAAAAAAAGTGTAAGGGCCACCGGTTGGCGGCACGTATTGTGTGCGAAACCCAGGATTGTCCTTCCGGCCGCTGTCGAAGGCAGGGCCATTGTTTGCTGCACCCAGTCGCGCTCGAGAATTCCGGAGTAAGTTGTGAAGGCTGACATTTATTTCGTCCACCGGTGTCGATCGAGGCAGTGGTGGTTTGATGTTAACTGCAGGCAGTAGCAGTGCATCGGAAGTGGTCTGCTATTTCCTCGCAAATCCTGCAGTGTTCGATCAGGGGCCTCGAGCGCTTTTTTTGAGTCATTGTGCATTCATCCCAAACAATAGGTTTGCAGGTCTGCAGTACTTTTCCCATGCAGGATGCTTTGGAAATGTTGCACTTGGAAGTTTACAGGAATTGCATGTTCACCGCAATTTCTAAGTTGAATGAACGGGCTTTCTGCCAGGTAGCAGATTTGCAGCTATTCCGGGGATGCAACTGCTAGGGCTATGTCATTTATTGGATCGAATTGCCGTCAGAATCGGTCGTAGTAGGAACGTTTTGCCAGTCCCTCCTGGCGCATCTAGGAAGGAGATTCCTCCAGCCCCGTTACTGACATTCCGCAGTATTTGATCGTAAATGTCATTCTGCTCCTGTCGTTGCTTGTGAATGTTTGATTGCAAGCATGGCAGAAGTTGAACCGTGTTTCATTTTGCTCATGGCGCCAATCCACATCAAACGAATCAGCAACGGATTGGTTTTGCGGTGACATTCCCAGTTGATTAAGTACTTTGTCCGCGATTTCCGCGTACATATCCTCAATCAATGTTAGCGCCTCGCTGTATATTCCTGTTGTGCAAGCCACATTTGAATTTTCCTTGCATAGTTGACGGAAGGTATCTTCAGCCATGTGCAAATTCTATTTCTCGCGTAGAACTGTTGGAGATGAAGGAGAGAATGCGGTTAATATGACTACAAACAATGCATGAAGTTGATGCGGATGGGACGTGTTGCAGGCGTCATTAATACACACGTCCTACTGTTGATCGTTCTCCAGTAACTGAAGAGCTTGACACGCACTGCCGAAAGTGGCATGCGTAGCTCCGTTGACAGATTTCAACTGCTGGAAAGACGCTGGACGTGGCACATTCACCAACACCATGCGAAGTAAGATTGGGATGCACGGTATGCAGTCTGCTTATCGCAGTTCCTTTGAATATTGCGGGGGTGTCCGTCCACTCGCTCTCCTCGTTTGCTCTCTTCAGATGATTTTCTACACACATTCCCTGTGTAATACGTAGGCACTTTCGAATTCGACAGTTTTCGCAAACGCGTCACTTTGGCTTAATGTGGAGGACGCAGTTAATGTTGTTGCCGGTAGACCCAAGGCAACCCGATGCATATTTGCAGCTGTAAAGTAAACGCATTGCCCATTCTTTAACTGTACTGCAAGCAAGCAACACCTGGACTTTGCTCATGGATGGAGAATGAAAGAATTCGCCACACGGCTTTGTTGCTGTTGACGCATATTCCAGCCCAATACTGTGCGATTTCATCGAGTTGTATGTCCGCATCCCTTTATCTCCTTTCGTGTTGCAGGCCGAAAACGGCCATGTCGCTGCCTTTATTCACGTACTTACAAGTGTACCTAATTCATTTCCCAAAATTACGGTGTTCCAAGTTTATGTGAGCTGCGTTTGCTTTTAAAAGCAAAGGCGAATATGAAACAACCCAGCGATTACCGACTTCTATGTCACCGATTCGCATTCGTACGGTTGCCAATTTGCCGATGTCTTCCGCTGATCATTTTCGGTATAAAGGACTTCTATCTGTCATGTCGGGGGAGGGGGGGGGTTGGAGAATTGGGATTCAGTGCATCCAAGGTCCATGTATCATATTCTTCGCCACAACTTCATGCAAATCATTGTCGACGTCGATATCAGGTAATTTGGCGCATACTGCGTCGTCGATTTCGCTGGAAACGATCTTGTTATAGAGCCAGATCAGGATATGTGCATGGAGCAGTCCCCTCTTTTGCCGTTCCACCTAATACATCCAACAGCGCACAGACCCAACCACCTCGTGTTTCACCATAAAGTTCATCAGCGATTGCAGTTTCTTCCTGAAAACACGTGCTGTGAGATGACATACCTATTTACTGTCGACAGCCCAGGAGGTAAGAGCGGATAAATATCCCCCCAAACTGGATTACATGTGAATGTAATGAGTAGGTCTGGACGCCCGTACTGACAAACGTAAGCAATTGCACCTCGAGCGTACTCAAACATATGACGTGAACTGTCTGTATATGTGGATGACAAAAGCGTTAGTCTTACAACGTTATCTGTATTACCGTCGTTTACAACTGCATCATGCAAAGAAATATAGTCTTCAGAGCGCAGCTTATTCTCTTTCAAGCGACGGAGAAGCAGGCGTTCAATTCCAAATTTTGCATACATATCCACACTGTAATGATTAAGCGATTGACGGGATTTCAAAAGGGCAATTACTTACATTCTGTCGAATCAAAAGTCGGAAGGAGTTGTAGTTCATTGCGCTGCATTTCATGTGCGTTACCTCGTCACTGACTGGCGTTATCATCTTAACGTTGAAGTGATATCCATCGGTACCATCCCGATAAGTAAATGGATGTTGCGCTAGAATCGTTCTCCAACCGCCGGTATATATGGTATCACCTTACCCTAAAATCACTAGTCTTCCAACGGTTGTTGTCGTATCGTCGTTTACAACAGGATCAGGCTGCGAGAATGCTGGACACGGAGTCGTGTTTGGCGCTGGTCTGCTGTTACTCGCTGGCGCCATTCGGCCACTCCCAGCTGGACCCTGCTGGACCCAGCCGGACCCTGCCACGCGTTGCTGTGGCTCAATCTGATGAATTGGGAAATAAGGGAAAGAGGAAGGAGCACGTTCCCAATTATGAAAAATGTAAGGACCACCCGTTGGCGGTACGTATTGTGTGCTAAAGCCAGGATTGTCCTTCTAGACGCTGTCGAAGGCAGGGCAATTGTTTGCTGCACCCAGTCGCGCTCGAGAATTCCGGGGTATGTGGTGACGGCTGGCATTTATTTCGTCCACCGGTGTCGGTCGAGGCAGTGGAGGCCTGAAGTCTCCTGCAAGCAGTAGCAGTGCATCAGAAATGGTCTGCTATTTCCTCGCACATCCTGCAGTGTTCGATCAGGGACCTCGAGCGCTTTTTTGTGCCATTGAGCATTCATCCCAAACAATAGGTTTGCATTTCTGCAGTACTTTTCCCATGCCGGATGCATTGGAAATGTTACACCCAGGAGTTTCAATGAATTGCTCGTTCAAAGGCAATTTCGAAGCTGTATGAACGGGCTTTCTGCCAGGTAGCAGAGTTGCAGCTATTCCGGAGATACAAGTGCTAGGGCTATGTCGTTTAGTGGATCGAATTACCGTCAGACAGTCGTAGTAGGAACGTTTTGCCAGTCCCTCCTGGCACATCTAGGAAGAAGATTCCTCCAACCCCGTTACTGGCAGTCCGCAGTATTTGATCGTAAATGTCATTCTGCTCCAGTCTTAGCTTGTGAATGTTTGATTGCAAGCATGGCAGAAGTTGAACCGTGTTTCATTTTGCTCATCGCGCCAATCCACATCCAACGAAGCAGCAGCAGACTGGTTTTGTGATGACATTCCCAGTTGATTGAGAACTTTGTTCGCCAGTTCTTCGTACATATCCTCAATCAATAATAACGCCCCCTGTAGATTCCCGCTGTGCAAGCCACATTTGAATATTCCTTGCATGGTCGACGGAAGATATGTTTAGCCATGTGCGTCACTTTGGCTTAACGTGGAGAACGCAGTTTATGTTGTTGCCGGTGGACCTTAGGCAACCTGTTGCGCGTTTGCATCGGTAAAGTAAACCCATTGCCCATTCCCTAACTGTACTGCAAGCGAACAACACCTGGACTTCGCTCATGGGTGGGGAATGAAAGGATTCGCCACATGAATTTCTTGCCGTTGACGCATCTTCCAGCCCAATACTGTGCGATTTCATTGTGTTGTATGTCCGCATCCCTGTATCTCCTTTCGTGTTGCAGACCGAAAACAGCCATGTCGCTGCCTTTATTCACGTACTTACAAATGTACCTAATTCATTTCTTAAAATTGCAGTGTTCCACATTTATGTGAGCTGCGTTTGCTTGTAAAAGCAAAGGCGAATACGAAACAACCGAGCGGTTACCAACTTCTATGTCACCGATTCACATCCGTACGGTTGCCAATTTGCCGATGTCTTCCGCTGATCGTTTTCGGTATAAGGGACTTCCGTCTATCATGCGGGGGAAGGGGCAGGGGATTGGAGAATTGGGATTCAGTGCATCCAAGGTCCATGTATCATATTCTTCGCCACAACTTCATGCAACTCATTGTCGACGTCGATATCAGTTAATTCGGCGCATTTTGCGTCGTCGATTTCGTTGGAAGCGGTCTGGTTACACAGCCAGATCAGGACATGTGCATGGGGTAGTCCCCTCTTTTGCCATTCCACCTAATACATCCGGCAGCGCATAGACCCAACCACCTCGTGTTTCACCATGAAGTTCATCAGCGATTGCAGTTTCTTCCTGAAAACACGTGCTGTGAGATGACATACCTATTTACTGTCGACAGCCCAGGAGGTAAGAGCTGATAAATATCCCCCCAAACTGGATTGCATGTGAATTTAATCAGTAGGTCTGGACGTCCGTACTGACAAACGTAAGCAATTGCACCTCGAGCGTACCCGACCATATGGCGTGGATTGTCTGTGTATGTGGACGACAAAAGCGTTAGTCTTACAATGTTATCTGTATTACCGTCGTTTACAACTGCATCATGCAAAGGAATGTATCCTTCAGAGCACAGCTTGGTCTGATTTAAGCGAATGAAAGCAGGCGTTCAGTTTCGATTTACGCATACATATCCACAATGCAGTGATGAAGCCATTTACAGCATTTCAAAAGGGGGATTACTTACATTCTGTCGAATCATAAGTCGGTATGTGTAGTAGTTCATTGCGCTGCACTTCATGGGCATTACCTCATCACTGACTGGATTTATCATCTTAACGTTGAAGTGATATCCATCGGTACCATCCCGAAAAGAAAATGGATGCTACGTTGGAATCGGTCTCTGACTGTCGGTATATATGGTATCACCTGACCCTAAAATCGTTAGTCTTCCAACGGTTGTTGTCGCACCGTCATTTACAACAGCATCAGGGTGCGTGAATACTGACTACCGAGTCGTGCTTGACGCTCGTCTGCTGTTCCTCGCTGGCGCCATTCGGCCACTCCCAGCTGGCTGTGTTCATCCTGTTGCTGAACGAAGCAGGCCTGAAGCTGCAGAACGCGGCAGCCGTGACCGCAACCGGGCTTCCGCAAGCCGAACTGCACAATACTGAGCTGACATTGGGCGACAGCCCCATTATGTGGGTTGTGCGGGGGAGGGAAAGGGGCAGTGTTAACCGCATCCAGTCCTCACCCCCGGGAATCCCCGAGGCAGCGGTGACGGCCCTACTATTATATGAACTGTGGGCAATTTTAAGTGGCGTCCAAGTGTTGCGTTTTTTTGCCCCAGGGGTGGTTTGCTATGGCGGCCCATATTGTATCGGCCCAGAGGGCGTGGAGGGCCTGCTCAAGTGCCTGCAGGGTGGGTGGTGGGGTGAGCGCGGCTGTCGGGTGGAGCACGTGCGTTTGAGCGAATGTCGGTCAAGTGGCCGCAGTCTGGGCGCACGTGTGGGCGCAAGCGGATGTAGGTCAAGTGGCCGCAGCTGGTGGCGTTGTTAGGCCGGAAAAAGTCCAGTTTTTTTACTCATCACAGGCATACCATGGGCATAATTACACAACTGACCAGCCAAAAACCCGGCCCTATGCGCTGGTCGGGTTGTGTCCAAATTTCAGCGAAATCGGTGCAGTACTTTCGGAGATTAGGTATAACACAGAAAAAAAACCCTTCCATTTTTATATATATAGATTACAAATGTAGCTGTGCACTTTGTACATTAATGCTGCATATTCGTAAAATTGCTGCTCGGTCCCTTCACATTCAGCTCCCTCGGGCCGTCCCTTGCGAACCCACCTCGTAGGTCGGCCCTCCATCGCTGCCCCGCGTAGTCGGACTGCTCTGCAAGCTAAGCACCGATTAGCTATCGATCAGCAAGTCTTCAAGATTTACAAAGGTGCCCGGACTTTTGCCTACTCCAGGGATCGGAACCTTCTGGTGACTGGCGGTAATATTCCAGCATATTCTTAAAACATTGATCTCCTCTTTTTACATTCCCATATTCGGCCTAACTCTGTTGCAGTTTAGTCTCTTTGGGCTGTAAATTGCAAAGTATTAAACAGGATTTTAAATGCGCTCGCAAATATGGGAATTTATTTGAGTGACTGCAATAGTCCTGTGCGTGAGATGTAAGCACAGAATACTTAGGATTTTTGGTACTCTAACTCTCCAGTAATAGTGTTCCTACGCATCTACGGTGACCTGACACTGCAATATTCGGCGCTTATGTAAAATATGACTTTTTTCACCTGGTGTTTATGTGAATTCAACTGCAACATTGAAAAAAACTAGCATATTATTTGTTTTTATGCTTGTTTTACAAAAGGTTCCTGAAACTGCAGAGTGTCTTGTTTTCGCAAGGTTTACTAATTTTTTTAATTTTCTGAAACACGTTTTGTTTTGCTACATTTTCTTTGGCTTTTCAAGGTAATTTCTGTGTACGGTTTTCAAAACACCATTGCATCCAATTTCCGACAGCATGGAACAAAGCTCTGACGCTCCAAATGGCATAATGCACCCAGAACGACTGACTTATTTTGTATGCCGAATTTCCCCGCTCCAGTCTTCCGACCGGCTTGGACGGCGGCTCGGGTGTGGGAATGGGAAGTGAGAGTGAGGTGGACGACTCAGCGCACTTTCCTCCTCATTACAAATAATCTGACGTGCTTGAAGCTATCACGGTGCACTAAAAGCCGTGGCTTGGAAGGTTGCCAACTGACGGGGTAACTTGGACCTCCTCCTTGACCGGTGGTGGTCTGAGAGTCAGGCTGAAATGACTCCTTTTTAATGTGGTCTTTATGGCACTCCCACCACAGTGTGGGATCCGAGCCAGGCGTTGGCGGCACGCCTAGGTGCGGTTTCGGTCGTGTCAGCCCCCAATCTCTGTTGCGTTGGTGAAAAACTTGGTTATTTGTTGTGTAGACCAGGGGATGCGGAGTGGAACGCCAAGGTGAGGATCCGTCCAAGCCATCCACCTGTGGCCTTCCTCGTCTCCGGCCTTCTTGACTCAGTCTTGACACCGGACTCAGTCGGGCCAGGAGGAGAGAGTGTGGTAGATGCAGCGTAAATCGACTGGCACTATAAACCCCTGCGCAAGTCACCGTCCCTGCTCCCACCCCCTGCTGTGGGGCATACGGTAGACATCGTCGAAATCGACGGTCGAACTCACAGGCAAATAAACCCAAATCTCGTGTGAGGTTGTATCGAAAAAGACTCCGAGGTCCAAGATTATTGGCTTAGCCAGTCAGGTAGGGCTAACTTATATGGTCTAGATGCAAGTCGAATTCGAAAGTATTTGGGAATTTAAAAAGGTTCTTTAAAGCCGAAGGATATTCTTTCCTCAAGACATAATATGCTATTAAGTGGATACAACAAGGAATATTTTGTGCGTTTTCTACCAAATATATTGAAGTTGGTAGGACTGACTTATATGGTCCCCTAAACAGGACATACGAATAAAAACCACCTGCAATGCGGGTGAGTTTGAGCCGATTTCCGGTGAAATAAGGATAAGAGTTAGGTTAGGGAATAGGTTTGAGGCTAGATTTAGAGTTAACGGTAGGGTGAGTCAGGATCAAGTTTAAGGTTATGGTAGGTGTTTGTGATATCTTTGGGGTTAATACCAAGATTGTGGCGACGACTTAGTTTTATATTAGGGTTATTGTTGGGGCTAGGGCACGGGAATATTTTGCCCTTTCTGGAATTATGCGCAGGTTCACCTTTTTTGGAGTGTTTATGCCTATTCTTATGGTCTGTTAAGAGGATCGCTCACACCCAACCTGAAAGCACCTGGTTCTTTTGGCTATTGAGCCTTAAAAGTCTAGTTTTCGAACCACAGAACTATGGGCTCGTTTTTCTGTCAGTTTTGGTCGGTCCTATCAACTGTGGTAAGGAGCGCTCACCGATCAGGTCAGGGGACGTCCTCGTCCTGTTGTGTCTTCTGACTCAGTCTGCAGCCATCTCAGACAGTCGAATAGCAACTGGTAGTGCAGGCAGATAAGGTAGCACCAAAACCATATCAGGAAAACCTGAACAGCCATTTCTGGCTTAGTGACCACCGTCAGCTGACTCTACCCAACCTCAGGTGAGATGGCACCTGAGGATGGGACCCATAACCTGATTGGTGAGTTCTCTTCTGTTCGTATCGTAACCGAGAGGACAAAGTCCCCGTTCCTCAGTGGTTAGAACGCTGGACTTACTAATCCTCAATAAGCAAACGAACTCGAGTTCGAACCCCAGACATTTCTCACACCTGAGTTTGGCTATTACTGGCTGATAGTGGCTAATAAGCCAGAAGTTGCCAGTCCGGTCTCTCTTGTCTTTATCGGTACTCTTTGTGTGGCTCTACATGGAATAAGTACGTCCCGTAAGCTGATCGATGAGCGCCCGCCTTCTTTATAAATCGTCTTCTTTATAAACAGTCTTTCAATTACCACATTTTTCACACAAAACGGGTATTTTGTAATAAGTGTGATAATCTATCATGCAAGCCATGGTTCAAATGATCAATCCAACTTCTTCCTGTTTATGAAGCCGCGATATGTGAGAAGTCTTACCTGAAATAACGAGCAAGAATTGATGCAGATGTATTTGCTATCTCCAGCGAGTCAGCTTTCATTCCCAGGCTACAAAAATCTAAGATATAAACCCTGATCGAAGCGGTCGTTTAAATTGGTGTTCAAACTGACGGACCATGAGCACTAACTTAGTCGACTGCCATCGAAATTGCACGAAAGAGGTCTAGCCTGGAGCCACAAAGAACCTCAGAGCGCGCATACTCCGTTTTGCAATTATGTCATGTTGATGAACGCCACTTTCATGCGAATTTCATGTCCATCTTCATTGTAGTTCCAACTAAGAACTTTCCTCCTAAGCGTGTTTTGCGAGATTCGCTATGTTTGGGATTTCCTCTGTACCTTGTTTACGAGATCAGTAAAGTCCAGAGTGCCATAATGGCAATCGGCGGTGGAATATCTGGAGGCGTCTGCGACGGATGCGTTTCAACCACTGGTCCCTGTTGTCTACTGTACTGAACGTCAGAACCAAACAAAACCTTAGCCGTCATTTCGTGTTGGCCACCCATGTTCCTCACAGCAGTTGCATATTTCTGCTTCGGTGACTGCTCATTGCTGCTGGCGACAACGGTGGTAGTTGCTTTTCTCTGCATCTAGTCATTGGTCAGCTTTATTTTGGCTCTTCCTCGAATTTCTTCTTCGCTGTCAGGCCTTGACTTCGAAACCCACAATCCGTGCGGCCCTCGAAGAGCATCCTCGCATGCATAGCTGTACTTCCGTCTCAGCAGCCTGGATCATAATCTGACTGCAAATGATGTCACCAACAGCCTTCCTTTAGTTCTCACGCCAACACACACTGAGTAGTCCTCAGTGGGATACCCATTTCTGCATTTAGACGTCCCGTCCACCAAGCTTGTTGCCATATTTTATGCTAATCTACAGTGAAAAGGGTACCAGACGTGGTCAGAGGCCTGTCCATGAATTATCTCTTCTCCTATCTCAGATTGCTAGCCCAGGGTTTTATTTACGTTTGGCAAAACGCCACTTACATATAATAGAGAAGCAACATCTCCAAGGTTGTTATTTCGTCACCGGAGAGGACGCCCATAGCTCTCCATGATAGAAGAATGAGCTAGGTTTGAATTTATGGTGGTAAACAAAAACTGTGCCTGTCCGAATACTTATTCGGCCCGCGTCATATTTCATGGCGAATATTGGTGAAAGGGTAAGTAGCAGAGTTAGGAAGAATGTATGACTTTCAAAAATAGAGGAATGAAATAAATTCAGTCGGATAACCTGTCTGGCCGTTTTCAACTTGACAGATACCGCACTCACGTTGTTCAGTGCTGTTTTTCCAGGAATAGAGGAACCTTGGGAGGCCGGAAACTGCCTAGTGCTGCAACTGTGGGTTACCCAGCGCATCCGTAGGTGGTGGAAAGTGGAGCAGTATTCGGTGAAAACCAGTCGGAAAAAAATAATACTAACGAAACGCAGTCGCGAACAACGCAACGGTAATGTCCGCCACTGTGGCTGGACTCCGGTCTTATCTGCGACTGTCTCTGATGATGGGTTCGAGAGAGAATCCGAAACGTCAGACCAATAAATTCATTGTTCTGAAATGGCTGCCTACAAAAGGTCGCAAACCATCCGATAGGTTTAACTGCCACAGTCGACGAAGTTCACCGTACGTCCCACAGCAGGGGGAGCCCAGTACCAATGATTGGTTTAAGGCGAGACAGGCTTGCGCAGTATCTATCGCACTCTCTCCCATCTCATCCTGTTTTGCTACGATGACAAGACAACGTCAATATGACCGATGGTGGAGGGGGGAGGACTGGGGCACAGTCTACCTACGCATGTCATACGCGACCTGTTTCTTATCACTATATGATCCAGGCGGTTCAATTCTCGCATAAATGAAAGTTCCACAAAGAACAAATTGAGGAGTCACTGCAGTCTGACTCTCAGTGCTCCAATCACTCCGGGATGCTTTCATTAAAATAGAGTCATCTCGTTATTAAGCAACCTCCAAAACCCCGACCCAGGCGCGTCAGATTTATGATTGTGGGAACTGTCTTGACATGCCATAGAGTCGACTCCTTTTCCCCCTCCTTTCTTCCATGCCCCGGTTGACTGTCCCAGGCTGTTCACGAGTTGATTATGCGCTTACGCGCAGTAGTCGATGCGGCGTGAAGGCCTGCCACTACGCGCATGTACGACAGTAGTTATGGACTCTCTATGGCGAAGCGCAGCTCGGTTGGCGCTTGCCGTGAGCTAGCCTGACATCCGTCTTAGTCCAGCTTACCCACAGCGCAGGCCATTGGGAGGACGGGCTCACAGGCCATAACAGTACCATGACTTGGACAATGTTGCCTGCCAGCAAGCAGGGCCTCAAACGCCCTCCAAGACAATCTCAGAATCTTACAGTGGTGTACCGCAGAAATGAAAGAAATTATCTCTTGGCCAAGCCGCCCACGCAATCGCTGATCGGCACTCCGCGTTTCAATCCATTTATGAAACTGCCGGAGATCTATGATTAGGCGTTTCTGCTGGCCCTGCCTGGAAGTCATCGGTCCTGAAAGGAACAATTATTCGCTTTTAAACCTTCGGTACAGGATACCTAGACACTAACTGATACTGGATACTGGGTCCAGCATCAAATATTCTAGCTTTTCAGGGATCAGAAAAAACGTGAAATCCCCTAGCATAGATTACGGAGCTACTGAGTGTTCAATAACTACAAATAGTGTACTTTTGGTGGGGGGGAGGGTGAGTAATGAAATTCAAAGAAGAACCAAGACGCCGGCGTGGGTTGAAAGTCCGTGAAGCATTCTCCACAAAAGCAGATTCTCTGTAAAACGTGTTAAAGTCCCCGTGACATAGTACTGTTGTCCATGGAAGGTGGGAAAGACAACTATCCCGCACAAACTGATCGCCTCTCAATTTTATATGTACGGATTGGCGGAAGAACCTGTAGTCTTCGCGGCTCCCCTGCGTACAAGAAGTACCGAAATTTGGAGTTAGGGGAGCCATTCTCCTCCCCTTCAAGTTGATCCAATAACATTTAATGGTTAAAGTATCTGCGGCATCTGCCGCATCCCCCCCTCCCCACTCTGCACCTGGCCCCGGTGTCAAGACAGAACCAAGAAGACCGGAGGCGGGGGAGGGCGCAGGTGGCTGGCACGGTCGTACTCGCACCTGGCTGTGCTACCATAACCCCTGGCCCACAACAAGCATTGGACTATAATTCCTCACCAACAATAACACCCCAACAGGGATCAGAAGGATGAGGATGATGACTGGGCAGCCATTCCTGCCACCTGTATACTCAGCGGGGACGCAAGCGCATCTGCCGGCAGGGAACCAGGTGTCAGGGGACTGCCAGCGCATGCCCAGGCTGCGAGGGTCATGGTTTGTTGATACTGGCATGGCACATGCTTCCAGACCTTTTGACCTAGAAGGGTAACACGTGGCCCCGCATTAAGCCTGGGCCGTCACCCTTCAAGGTTGGGTGACCAAACAGTCGTCGACTGAGAGGCACTACCATAAAGCACACACACAAACACAAACACTCTCCTCACATGCGTGAGAATGTCACAGATCGTATGAGAAGGGGCCGTGACAGCCTGGCTCTCAGCCCACCAGTCCGCCACTCCACACAACCGGGCAGACTGCGTGGACTGAGTTGGAGCGTCAGTCGGTTGCCTTCCGAGTCACGGTGCTCTGCACGCCGTCTTCGTCTCAGACTCCGACCGTACATGCTAGATAGAGGCCGAATGCAGACGGAGCCGAGACGCAAACTTCCCACTTACGTGGGAGGTGGCCGTTGGGTGCTTGCGATGGATCACAGTCAAGTAAAGAAGTACCAGCAAGCAAGCGCCTAGATGGGCAGCGAGGAACTTCAGTTGCCTGGACCAGTCGTCAGAGGAGAACATTCCAATCAACATTCACACCCGTACTGGATTCACCCCCCCCCCCTGACAGTTGACGTGTCACGCCAGAAAGGATATTGAGAATTTTGCTCATTGTAGCAAAGTTAGTGGGCCACCACAAACGCACTTGCCTCTGTGAGGTCAAAGAAATTTGTAAAATAACATAACCCCCGAACTAACGCATGATAACAATATGAACGGAATCCCGAAGTCCGAAAGACCTTCTTCCGGATCAGAGTCGGTGTGGACCGTGCATTAGTGACTGCCATTGAATGCAGCTCGAGTAGGGCAATTTATTGACGGCCGGCATGACCTCAGTTGGTGTTTGATCCAAATGGGTCTGTCGTAAAGGTTGTAGTAAAGTTTTCAAGCGAACTGTGAGGCAAGCGATCGATTATATCGGCTTTCAATCGACCTATGAGCTAAATGGTTGCGAAAGTGAGCTCTAACTGGCGAATTTTTTGCAGTCATACAGTCACAACTTCTTTGTACAAAGCGACGTCTCACGGAAAAGAACAGGCTGCCGGGCGCGCCAAAAGCAAACAATCAACCGTGTAGAATGAATACGGACAAGGACTAGGGAGATCGGGGTGCTCATTTCTGTCTTCTTTGTCGCCATCAGTTAACCATGCCCTAAAATAGGTAGGACGAAGTAACACAAATTCAGTCCAAGTTGTTCATCGAGTACCACAGGCAGATGCTCAAACACCTACACCACACGACCAGGTTTCACCGTCTGCACTCGGGACTTTTCCAAGCCATGTGAAAATGCCATTTGACACCTCTGACTTCAGGAAAGGAAATATTTCATGATGAAACCCGACCGCATAATTTTTATCCCTGAAACTTGTCAATCACATCTTGTCTTCCGTGCTCTAAGCTGGTGGGAGTATTAGTAAATGTCTGTATGAATTTCCGTGCATTCTGTTCAGTCTCATGTGTCCTCTTATCGTTACGTACGATATGGTCTATCACTTATTTTTAGGAATGGATAGGCTTATACGAATCTGGAATCCGGTTGTTCCATCGTGAGTTAACTTGCATTCATATTTTTCTTTCTTCCTGAACTATGCCACCTATGAGTTCACCGCCGAATATGCGGTTGCTCGAATGGTCAGTTTCTTCATTTTGTGTACGTGCGTCTTGGTGAACTTTTGCAGAGACAATGGTGGGTAAAAGTGCATATTTTAGAAGTTCTCACTTTCGAGAGCATAGAGATACTGAGTCGGTTGCCATTCCGCAGGTCCGAAACATGTAGCTGGTCCTTTGGTCTTCCGTCGTTGATTGCATCTCCTGTCAGTCATTGGAGCCGTCTCAAGACACCCAAAGGTCAGTTGAGGAGACGGGCTAAACTCATAGAAGGAATGTTGCCACCGGCAATTGCTTGCGTGCCTACGTCGTGAAATGTTAACCGAAATTCTGAAATGTGTTTTCGATTTGGAAGGATTACTTAGCCGAAGTTGTGAAATTAATTAGCATGCGACATAATGTCATGATATTTCAGTCACGCCAGAATGCCGGCTTTTGAAATGAGCCCTCGTCGGCTGCCTGCAACAATTGTACCCGACGAAAAATGACTACTTATGTAGTATGCATGCAAATTTAAGGATATTTTGTGAAAAAATGCATAAAATCCTCTTTCGTCTTCTCATTTTATAGCAGGCCACATCTTACGCAAATTTTATACTTGAAGAACTTGAATTTTTTATTTTAACGGCTTTTCTCGATCTCCGAGTAAGTTTTGTCCTGACCTGAAGTTGTCTTTGTGCTTAAGGTTTTAATCTACATGTTTCACACTTTCCTTGTGGGGAAATTCATAAATTTTTCCACACTAATAGGAAGGGTTATACAGGCCTCGAAAAGTTTTACAATGCACGTGGACCATGTTGCGATCTTCACAGACAGAATCAAAAAAACAAACGAATGCGATGCTGTGTTGGTGGACAATTCACGATCTTAAAAATCCTATAATTATAAACTTGCTTCTAACTCAAAATATACCCTTTCTTCAACAATAAGAATATGAAGTTAACGTAACTTTCTGAAGAATAAGGAGGCGGAAGTAAATTCCTATGCGTTTTTCAAATAAAATATATGTAAACTTAGAAAGACATCTAAAACCCATGTTTAAATGCATCATATTTATGTGGTTGTTCTTTACCGAGTGTAGTCTTTCTAGGCGACCGGAAAGGAGCTCGTTCAAAAACCAGCATCCTCGCATGACTTTAATATCGTCATGATTATATCGCATGATAATCAGTACTGCAACCGAACCCTAGTATTCCCTTCTAATAGAAAATACATTTGTGATTTTCGACAAACATTTCATGCCACTAACCAGCTACCGTCTACTTCACCAAACCTCATGTTTTTACCTTCTGAGACAAAAGAAACGGTCGCCAGAGTCATTTTGTCAGTTTCTGTCGTTTATATGATCTTTACGTGCTCTTTTCTTGCACATGAGCGTCTGTCATACGCACACTACCTTCTGCCGACCCAGAGGTGTGTCGGCAGTCGTCCATTATGACGAAAACACCGACGAAAGCAGATTCTAACAGTGATAGTCAGAGAGTGGCATGGGGGAATGGTTACAGGGCAGAATGACCGTTTCAGGCACGTGTTTTGTCATCAGCTGATCATGTCCAGACTTCCGTTTACCACCCGAGATCTCAGCCAGGAGTCATTTGATCATCGAGCCCTTTCATATCAAATGCTTTGCAAAATGAGCTATGGGTTCCACCGCGATCGGGGACATGCAAAGTCGTATAAAATTGGCGGAACGTTCCATCCCCCATTTACTTGCAAACTCCGAGACTAGAGCCCGGCAGAAGCTGACATAATAACGAACATTCGGTTGTCTAGAAGCTCTTCTGACAAGGCAAACAGGACCGAAGTTCTTGTTTCTGACCCACTGTCCAAACCCCTGATAGTCGCCCAATCTTCTAATCAGAGCTCAGTTCCCTGTGTCTCAAAAACCCTTCCGTTTACCCCGGTGGTCGAAACTGCAAAATATGGATGAGATCTGTAAAAGTAGTCATTGGTTGACTAGAAGACCTTTCTGGGTGCTTCTCCATCACACCATTTCATGTTCCTAATAAGTTACATTCTTACGACACAGAGTACATTGCGTGACCTATCTTATGAAATGTTGGCTGAAATTCTGAAATGCGTTTTCGATTAGGAAGGATTACTTGGTCGCGTTTGTAATACTGATTATCTTAAGGCACACTCTTATAACACTTTAGACTCGGCAGGATGTCGGCTTTAAAATGCACTTCTTTTCAATCTCCTGTAGAAAGCGTGCTCGGTAAAAAATGACTACTTAAGTAGCATGCATTTTTCCCATTGATTTTCGATGGTCTCGCAAATTCAAATATATCTTATAGAAACCACAAACAAAAATATGCTTTCTTTTAGTCAATCAATAGAGAATTACGTCTTCTTTATATTTTATACTTAAGGAAGGAGTATAATTAGGTTTTAAAAAAGTTTCTAATTATGAGGCTTTTTAAGACCGCGATATGTCCATTCACATAGCATCGTACCTGGCCGTTTACCACTGCTCCTCATGAAATGTGCAACATGGTCCGCATCCATAGCAACATTTTATGGACTCTGTAGGATATCTCTTTAATGGCATAGAAAAATGTGTTATTTTCTTTACGCGGAACGCATGCACCTTGCAGACTGAAATTACTCAGCGCTAATGCAACGAATGATCAGGCTCCAAATTATTCGGCAATTGGAAAACTTTTTTAAAGCCTAATTATACTCCTTCCTTAAGTATAAAATATAAAGAATATGTGATTCTCTATTGATTGATAAAAAGAAAGCACATTTTTGTTTGTGGTTTCTATAAAATATATTTGAATTTGCGAGACCATCGAAAATCAATGGGAAAAATGCATGCTACTTAAGTAGTCATTTTTTACCGAGCACGCTTTCTACAGGAGATTGAAAAGAAGTGCATTTTAAAGCCGACATCCTGCCGAGTCTAAAGTGTTATAAGAGTGTGCCTTAAGATAATCAGTATTACAAACGCGACCAAGTAATCCTTCCTAATCGAAAACGCATTTCAGAATTTCAGCCAACATTTCATAAGATAGGTCACGCACTGTATCACTCGGGTAGCAGTAATCACACCGGTTGCTCCCGTAAAACAACTAAAACTGGTGTCCTCACCTTCTCGGGTAAGTCGAAGGGGAAGGCGAGAGAGATCTAAGCATAGAAAGAGAGTCCAGCTTCTCAGTCACCTTCGGAGAGAAATTAAGAAATGGGGCCTGAGCGAATGGGGATTAGTGGTTCAGATATGGCTTTTGTCAGCTGATTGATTTGACCATGCTTGGCGTGCCTTCCACGTTGGGGAATATATTGCCTAATTCACTATAAAACCGGCTTCAGATGCGTCATGATGCGCAGGCTACATGTGCCAGATAATCGACCCTCAAAAACCAGGAAATCCGAGATGTGCACATAATTTTATTTCCGAGGCTTATCCTTACAAACCACAAATTGGACCGACTAGATTATAATGGCCAGCATTTCTCGAACTTACTTATTCTTCAGAAACAAAAAAATGTGTAAACAATTGGCGTTGGTCTCCTTTATTTTCGCCGCCTCCCGAACTTGCTTCGATTCCTATTCGGTGACCGTAACAGTAAATCGTCCTCATGCAGTGAGTTTTCATGTATGGCATATAGCGCAGAACAGACCTCAATGAAATGTTTAAGCCACAAAGTGGTCACTCAGGAGTCAAAGAGCCTTTGAGATCGACTGTATACTTTACGGCCAAGGACCGAACTCACAGGCCAGATAAGGGCGAAGCTCGGCAAAGGAATCTTGTTGGGAAATGGAGAAGCCCTAGCGCGTTAAATACGGAAACGGGGCTACGGGAAAACACGGAACGATGGACGAAAACTAGGGAAAAACGAAGGTATTAAAGGTAAATGTTCTACTTTTTCTTAACGGGTACTAAAATCTCATCGTAAACGGGGTGCAATACAACAATTCGCTGTAAGTAACCAGTAGTAACCAACTTCACTAATAATAATGAGAGTTGGTCTGACAAGACCACCGAACTGAATTGCCGAAGAAGGTACCAGTCGGACGGAACCCGTAGATAAAAGTAGTAGGAAGTGGATGCAAAATGACTTTAGCCCTAACCTTTACACTAGCTCTAACCCCAACTCCTAACCCTAAGTCCTAACCCCAACCCTAACCCTCAAATCTTAACCCAAACCTTAAAGTTAACCCTTAAACTAACCCTAAATCCTAATCCTAGCTTTAACTACTAGCCACAAACTCTAACCCTTAAACTAGCCCTAAATCCTAACCCTAAACCTTAACACAATCCCATGCCGTAACTCTAATCCCAATCCTAACCATCATAACCGCAGCAGTCAACGAAACATCTCAGATTAAAAATATTCGCTAGCAGTACTACACCTGCCAAAATCAATAATAGTACGGAAGTGATAAATTGTTGACCACCTACTGAAATCAGTAATAGTACGACAGTTATAGATTGTTGGCCAAGGAGGGCCGCGTTTCTAAGCCCCACCTAGATAAGTAAAACCTTTAGGTGAGAGAGGGAGCGAGAACGGGGACGGGACACCGTGTGGGAAACGACTGATGATACTCAGTAAACAGCAGCCCGCGTATCTTTTCCTCCACGCTGATAGCTTTCATACTGTACCATCCGTCATCCACTGAGACGCCCACAACTGGTCATTTATACTACTATCCCGTCCAGTGCCACTAGCCGTTGATTTGATTAAGACTGTCCTGAAACCCAAGTTCTGAAGGCCGGTATAATTGGCCTCAGGACCACCGTCTTTTTTGGCAGGTGTAGCATCTACAATAGTAGCGGAAGTAATACTGGTAATGTCGGTACTTTTTGTTGTTTATTAGTGACAGTCATAGGAGTAAAAATATTAATGGTAGTGGCAGTAGTTGAATTAGCACAACCACCTTTGTTGCCCCGTAAATAATCAAGAATTGCCTAGAGGCATACAATAGGTACGCCAACTCATGAAATTTTAATCGAAAATCTGAAATGCATTTTCGACTCGAAAAGATTACTTAAGTACAGTGCGTGACCGACCTCATGAAATGTTAACCGGAATTCTGAAATACGTTTTTGATTAGGAATGATTACTTAGGTGGGGTTGTTATATTAATTAGCATGTAGCATAATCCTATAGCATTTCAGAATCATCAGTTCAGTTTATTGAGGGAAATGTAGGTCTTCACCTTTGAACTCCCTATTTGTTTACAAGCAACTGCAAAATCTCAAAAACTCGAAAAGGTATCATAAAGTAACAAATAATCGGAAAAGCGTCAGGTCTCTACAGACAAACAAACTGTCTCGAATTTTAGTGGTACGAGCTGTTGTAGAGCTGTCGTTTCGAGTGCAGCGAAATAAATAATATGTCCGGTGACAAAATTTGCATATGTGCATGTCAGTAAGCGTAGGCGATGGGTTGGTACAATAATAAGTTCAATTTAAAATGTTACTGAAATATAGCAAGTAGTATTATAATAGCGGAATTTGTCGAGGTTACAGAGATCGTTGTGGTAATTTAGTGCACACTGCTACACAAATCCAGCTTCCTCTTAAAAACCTCGACGGAAGCAGACATAACGACATCCACAGGCAGGGCATTCCAGGCTTCTACCACTCTGTTTGAGAAGAAGAACTTTCGTGTGTCCAGTCTGGCCCCTGTCACACGTAGTTTGAATGGATGGCCTCGTAGATTTGTGGTGGTTGCTAAGTCGAAGAAGTCACCCGGTACGAGGCTGCAGTCCTGACCGCGTATGATACGGAAGACTTGTATCAGGTCACCCCGTAACTGCCTGTAACTCAAGGGAAAGAGATGAAGGTTAGCTAACCGCGTTGCATATGGTAGTGAACCCTGTCCTGCCACAAGTTTCGTTGCACGCCTTTGAACACTTTCAAGGATGCTGAGGTCCTTCGCTGTCCAGGGTCTCCAAGCTTGGATAGCAAATTCTAGTTGCGGACGCACAAAAGTTCGAAAGACTTCAGCGAAGCAGTCTTCGTCAAAGGCAGAGAAAGCCCGCTTGACAAGGTAGAGGACTGACATTGCAGACTTGGCTATCTTCGTGCAGTGCAGCGAGGGTTTGAGCGAGGTCGTAATCCATACTCCCAAGTCCTTCTGCGAGTCCACTTCTTGCAGTGGTATACCATTTAGGCAGTAGGCCATATGGTTCGGAGAGCGAGCTCTGCCGACTCGTAGAATATTACACTTTTTCTCGTTGAACGGCAGAAGCCAGGCCTTTGACCACTGTTGGAGTCGATTTAGGTTCGCCTGTAGATGCTCTTCGTCATCTGCAGTTCGAATGACGCTCCAGAGCTTAATGTCATCCGCAAACATGGCGACACCACAATCCAGTTCACTCACGCAATCGTTGACGTAAATGATGAACAAAGTAGGGCCAAGAACTGAGCCTTGGGGAACACCGCTTTCAACGGCAACCTCCGTCGACTTCTGGCCACCGACATGGACAGTTTGACAACGGTCTAACAGGAAGCTTTGAATCCATTTTAAGAGGTTACCCCTAACGCCTGTTCGGCTCAGTTTGTGCAGGAGTCGCTGATGTGGGACACTATCAAATGCCTTTTTAAAGTCGATATAGACTACATGCAGCGCACTGCCTTCATCAACTGACCGAGTCCAACGTTCCAAACAGTTGAGCAGGTTAGTCACGCAAGACCTGCCACTACGAAACCCATGCTGCGTATCAGATAATAAATTATGCTGCTCTAGGAAGCGCATCAGCTCTCGCTTGATTATTTTCTCCATGAGTTTGCAGCAGATGGAAGTGAGGCTAGTTGGCCTGTAATTGTTTGCAGAGGCCTTGCTGCCTCCTTTATGCAGTGGTGTGATCCGCGCAGATTTCCAGTCGGCGGGCAAGCCGCCGGCTTCGAACGAGGCTTGGAAAAGCATGGACAATGGTTTGGCTAGTTCGGCAGCGAGCTCCTTCAGTAACTTAGGCGGTATGTCGTCTGGACCTGGTGATTTCGACTCGTTTAGCGTCATTAGCTCTTTGCGAACCGTCGCTTCATCAAACGACACAGACTCGATTTTTGGACCCTCATCGAAGTCGTAGTCGGGGGGAGTAAATGGACTTTCACTAGTAAAGATGGATTTGAAAAATTGTGAAAAGTGCTCAGCTTTTTCTCCATCCTCACTAATCTCTACGTCGGCTTTTGGATATACTCCATTTCGACTTCCTGCAGAAGCCGCACTCGGCAAAAAATGACTACTTGTCTAGCATGCATTTTGCACACTGATTTTCGGTGGTCTTTTAAATTTAAATAAATTTTATAGAAAACATGCACAAAAATATGCTTTCTTTTGCCCGTTTGGTAGAAAATCACACTGTCTTCAAATTTCATACCCGAGGAGAGTGTATATTTGGGTTTTAAGAAGGTTTCTAATTATGAGATTTTTGAGACCATGCAATGTCCATGCATGCAGGACCGCACACGCCCGTCTACCAATGCTTCTCGTGAAATATACAACATAGTCCGCATCCACCGCCAAATTTTATTGACTGTCTATGGTATCTTCTTAAATTCATAGAAGGATATATGATCTCCCTTACGCGAAAAGCATGCACGTTGTGGACTGAAACCTCTGAACGAACTCAAAATTAGTCAGAAATTGGGAAACTTTTTTAAAACCTAAATAATCACTTTTTTCGTGTATTAAATATGAAGAAAATGTGATTTTCTACCAAAAGAGCAAAAGAACGCATATTTTTGTGCATGTTTTCCGTTAAATGTTTTTGAATTTATAAGACTCGAAAATCAGTAGGAAAACTGAATGCCATTTTAGTAGTCATTTTTTACCAATTGTGGTTTGTACAGGAGGCCAAAAAGAGGTGCATTCAAAAGCCTGCATCCTGGAGAGTCCAAAATATTATAAAATTATGCTGCGAGATGATCATTCTCACAACCCCGCCTAAGTAATCCTTCCTAATTTAAAACGCGTTCCAGACTTTTGGCCAGCATTTCTTGAGATCGGTCACGCACTGTAGGGTTGTACGATTAATCAACTTGCAGCATAATCCCATAGTACTTCTGTTACTTCAGGATGCCAGCTTTTAAACGAACTTCTTCCTGGTCGTCTGCAAGAACTACACCCTGTAAAAAGCGACTACTTATGTTGCATGACTGTGAAAAGCCCGTTCATGAAACACCGTGTCTCCGCATTTCCTAATGATGCATCTAAAGTTTACAATATGTTTCACATCCACTGGTGAATTTAATTAACCACATAGGGTTTCCTCTTAATAGCGTATGCTTTCTATGAAATATATTTATAAGGACATAAAAAATCGATGAGGAAAATTCCTACTAATTAAGCAACCATTTGTACAGAGTGTACTTCGTGCAGGTGCCCGAAAGGAGTTCCTTCAAAAGCCGGCGTATCGCAGTAACTGAAATATCTCAGGATTGTGCTGAGGAGTACTTAATAGCACAATCCTACTTAAGTAATCTTCCCGAGTCGAAAACCCATTTCAGAAGTTCGGTTAACATTTCATGAGTTAACACACTTACTGTATATTAGCTTTTACGACTTCATCGCAAAGAATGGATTTAAGCGACCGCAATCGTAATATATCGACAGGGCCTTCGTAGAAAAGAAGTTAACAGAGCCAACGTGTTCGCATAAAGTGGTTTCGGTGTTTGCAAATTTAGTCTAGATTCAGATGAAGATACACACAGCACACCAGTCGGCTCCGCCTGCAGTGTTAGTTTTGCTGTCTCTGTAAGGCAGGCACATACCCCTCAGCCGGACAACGCGGTAGGTGCCCTGTATTAACAAGGAACTAGGCTGAATTCTGGCAGACTTTATCGGGAATGCGCAACCATAACAAATGTTACACCCAGTTGCAGGCTCGCGCCATGCCAACTGGGATCCGTGCCGACCCCGTCCCCCTCACTTATCTTGTTATGTAAATCCTGGTCAGTGCACGCTGTGAACCAGGGATGACTGAGGCCACGCCAGTCACCTGCGCCGTCTCCCAACTCCGGTCCTCATGGCTCTGTCTTGACACCGGGTCCAAGCGGGGAGTGGGGGAGAGAGAGAGTGCGGTAGATGCTGCGAAAGTCTACTATCACTGTCAACTAGTTCACGCGCAAGCTATTGTCCCGCTGTGGAGTACACATGGTGGACATCGTTGGTAGCGACGGTCGAACTGTCATAAGACAAGAAACTAGTTTGTTCCTTTGTGTGCCTATTTTACTTTTCTTTCAGGAGACCAGTATTAAAGCTGTTTGGCCACAGTTCTCCCTTGGTATACCTGCATATCAACAGTGAAGAGAACAGTTTACTCAGTATCTCCTCAGACAGATGCATCAAGGTAAGTTCCCCACAGGAGTCTCATTTAGTTTCCCTTTCCTCTGCGAATGTCTAAACGCTTTCCTGTTTCTCTGTGGTCGTTTTGAGGTATGGGAGCTGGAGGAATACAACTGTTTGATGTCCTTTGGAGAAAACCACCAGAGTTTAAAGGGTGACTTACAATCATGTATGTATTCACCCACCTCTCGATCCATCCTCCTTGTGATGGATTATGCTGCTCTCGTGGAGTTTGAAACAAAGTAAGTAAACCTGAATTCCATGCTTCTCCTTGACTATCCTGATCCGGTTGCTCTGATAATGTTGCGCGAGGATCTCGGTCAGCGGGTCTAGCAAACTCAACTGATGCTCTTTCATAACGGAGAGGAGTGGATGTTGTAAGTTAAAGGACCTCCCCTATGTCTTGACGGGCCGCGTTCAGTCAAGTTTTCGGTCGACCCCACTTAAGCTATCTCCACTGAACTGTCAAGGCAGACGCGAAAGGGTGTGTCCAGACAGCCATTTCAGCTTATCCTTGATCGTCTAAGAGATCTTCGCAATGCTAACTCATCGAGTGTGAACAAGTACATTCGAGCCCATGTCATTTCACCGCATTCGGAGAATCGTCCTCATACTCTCCATTTGTCGTTCATCCTCTACGCGCACAGTCCTGCATTCAAACCCTTGAGACAATAACCGGCCGGATGTCCAATGTGCGCGGATCTTTTTAACACTTAAAATGACCTACTGAGCTCGCAAGATTGTGGTCTCTGGGAATTTTCGGCCTTTTGCGTTTTTAAGCAAAAACCGAAAATTTCATTTGACAAATCTGGAAGACATTGAAAATGTATTATTAGCAACTCGAACGACAGGTGAAACTACCACCTAGAAGATTTTTAACGACTGAGACCGAAAGCGTGCTCCTGACGTTAAAACACGAAGCCAAAACACAGTGCTTGAGTAAATCTTCTGACCATTTTCTACTTTGAATGAATATCTCGAAGATTTGAAATGGTCTGATAAAGGCGCTTGTGCTCTCACCTAACTGCTTTTTGAAAAATTATTCTAAATTTCGATCGTACTTTCTATATTCGTTTTCTTCAGCCCCTACGTCATGGAGAACAGTTGGTGGAAAAAACGCCGGTACTCGGAATACTACGCTGGAAACCTCTTCACAAAGGTTCCTTCTAAGAAGTCGACAGCCGATGCTCGTTTACCTCAAACGCAAGTAGCACATGCCGATTCCTAAATATATATTTATGCTCTCACATAAGAAGGCTCTCGGTTATAAAGATTCATATTCTGGGACCGAATTCTAGAGCGAATAATGATAAATTGATGGCAACGACAATGGAGACGGTGGTGGT